TGTCAATTTGAACAAAAGCCCTACATAAATACATTTAATGACACTCAGTTCATAAAGCAGAATGAGATACCTCTTCTCCAAGTCTGAATCTTCTTATGTCATGTTCACAAGTAATTGTGGGATGGAGTGAGAGACGGGCAGTTTTGGAGCCTCTGGGGTAAGGCAGGAGCTGCTCTGGTCTATTGTGTTAAAACAAGAGCTGATTCAAAAACTAACTATGGTCATGGCTGAAAGAACAAGATCCTGGATACAAGTAACTACATAAAGTCCTGTAGGGTAGTTTTGCACTCACTCTTGTAGAGCTTTCAGCTCATATCAAGTTTAAAGTGGGAGGAGAACTATATCATCAGTAGCACATGCCAACAAAGCTAGATGTCTTGTCTTTCTAACGACCTGAACTTCAAACACACAGCAGTCGCCACATTCTCACCTTCAGGGGTAAATGTTGCAATATTGTTCTGTACATGGTTGCTACAGTTTGTCCTGTGACTTTTTTTTTTGTTTTTGTTTTGTTTAAATAATGTTCGTCACCAGATAAAGTTGTGCTCACTTCCATTTTGACATAGAAAACTCACCATCAATAGATTAAAGTTAAATAAAAACAGAAACATAATGTTGACCACATTTTTGATTCTGCTCCTTGAACACCCCTGACACTTTCTTCTAGGTTGAATACGTGGAGGGGACAGCTCTGGTGCTTGGTTTCGAAGACCCCATGGTCCGGACCGACGACACGCCAGTGAAGCGCTGCCTGCAGACCAAGTGGCCCTACATTGAGCTGCTGTGGACCACCAACCTCTCACCGTCAATGAACTAGCACTGAAACATTTGGTGTGTCTTTGCATGTGGTCGGACCACTGCTGCCCCCCCCGCCACATGTCCCTCCTCAGCTTCCCCTGTGCCCACTGACCACAGGAGGTCAGCAGACCTCAGAGACTTACGCACATGCAACAGAGACCTACAACGACAAAAGAAACCCAACGCACACAGGGGGGACACACATGTTAAAGGAAAAAGCACTCAAGCTTGAGATCCATTTCTTACATCTACATTCACACATTCCACATAAATGCAAACTCTGCTGTGCAGTCACCATTGATTGTATTTAAGACACAGGATGTTTGTGTTGAGGTCATCTTGAAAAAGAAAAGAATGATTTCCGTAACAGCACCGTGCCGTGCTGATAACTTCTGTTACAGTTTAGCAGCAGACATGTAAACACTGTTTAGACAGCCGAATTTGGTTCAACAGGCGTGTTGTTAAAAGTCACACTGAACCACATGTAGAGCCTGTCGACTGTGAAACCCTAATCTTACACCAGAGCTACAGAACTGTTCAAACTTACCAAAGCTTCCTCTAATGAGAACACAAACTCACACACCCGCCAACAGCCACTTCCACTGCTTGGAGTTTACAGCATTAAAGGGACCAACCCCGAAGGAGAGATCCTAACTGGAGGTTTTCTGCATTTTAACCAAGTTCAAATTGGTTTAGGTGCTATGTGGGAGCTTTATGCATTATAGGATGGTGGTTAAGTGCTTGTATTTATTATCACGCTCAAAGGTTCTGGAATAAACACTGTTGTTTTTTTTCTTTTGTTCAAATGCTGTGTGATGTTTTTGTTCAAGCCTTTACATGTTAAACAACCTCCTCATAGAAACCTGGCCGTCCATTTGTCCGTCATATTTTCTTCCATTTGTTTGACCGTCAACCATCCATCCTTCAATTTCTCAATCTTTTTTCCAATTGCTTACCTATCATCAATCTATTTGTTCTTCAGCCATTTGTAGATCGATCTGTTTCATTTGTCCATCATCCATCTGTTTGTCCATCGTTCATCCATTCATTCTCTTGTCTATTGTATATCCACCCATTTGACCTTTATCACTATCAATCCATCTATTCAAATATACAGTTTCTTTATCTCTGTTGCGTTTGCAGGTTGCAGAGCCAGGAGGCTGGAGAAGTATGAAATTTTAACATGGGAAAACATCGAGGAACTCTGTATAAATTTATGACGCAACAGGAGATGACCTCTGGTTTCAAATGTCTAAGCTCCTTTTTGTAGCTTTGGTAGTAAATCAGCACAAACCTATGTTGTGTGTCCCAGAGAGAATCTAAATCATTATCTGAATAAATCCCCAAGACACTAATGGTGACTTAAGTGGTTCTCTGTAAACAGAAAGTAATCCCATTCAGACAGAAGATGGTGTTTGTCGAGCACCAAAACTTTCATAAAAAAACAAAAAAAAAACAAATCAAACTCTACACTTCTACTTCAAACACAATGCCAAACTGTTGGCTGGTATGAAACACAGGCATAATTTGCATTTTCAACAACTGTAGGTTGGAGATTAGTTTAATTAAACTTATTAATGTATTAATTTGCAGAGAACTGTTCTCCCACTCTGGCCATAAACACTAGTGTAGTAATCTAGCCCGCATGTATTTTAGTAAAGAAAAAAATGCAATTCTAATGAGTTTATAAAGAGGGAAAAGGAGCAAGGGCTTGGTGTGAAATAAACCACTGCTGTTGCTGTGCTGTAATCAATCCAGAGTGACCTGCAGTAAATCTCTGATCATTGCACACTGGCAGACTAACGGGATGAGGCCTGAACAATGAGTGTGTATTCCTGGTAATGCTGGTAATGGGAGATTCTGCTAGACTTGAAGACAGATGTGAACGTGTGCACCAACACACTTCTACACTTTGACACCTGATAAATAGCATTGCGTCATGGTTGCCTTAAAGCAAAACCATTGCACTGTTTTCACATTTGATCATCCTCCTCATCTCCCTTTTATTTCTCTAATGGTCACAAGGAAAAAAAAAAAACATCTGCAGCTGATCTCACCGTTCATGTTGTGCAGTTCTTTTTCTCCTCTTTGTTCATTTAGATTTTCAAACACCTGAGATAGACCAGACCCTCTTCTGTTCCTTGTTCTCTCTCTTTAGTCTGACACCCTCTTTACTGCTCTAAAAGAGATAAACCAAGCCTACCTTAAAAAAAATGGACAGAATGAATGGATTGGTGTGAAACATTTTGGGTCATTTGAAGGTCTCCACTTGGCAGGTAAGAATTTGTCTTCTATCCTGGCCACACTTTCCTGATTTGTATTTTCTTTCTGGTGTTAATTTATTACTTAAACCTGGGCTGACTTAACAATGGCCCCCTGGGGGACTAAAGGGACTTTAAACTCACAAAAACAAAGGCAAACTTTTATCCATGAATGTGTTTGAACCCTGTTAATACTTGCATAAGGTGGTTGGTGTCTATTTTTAGTGGTCACCATTTCGGAGAATGCTGGATATACGATTTGGTAACTTCAGGGCCACATTCTGACCTTTTGCAGATGATGTCATTGTGCTGGTGTCCTCAGGTTCAGCACACACCGGAACAGTTGGTGGTTGGGATGAAAGTCAGTCCCATATTGGCTAACTGGATAACTATAAGACGGGTTTTGTACATGCAGAATTAAAAATAATTAAGCCTAGGTCATTTAAATGGTGTTGAGTTGCGTTGTAGTAGTTGTAGTAGAGGCTTCAAAATCAAATTCTGCTCGAGACGCCATACAACCTCGGGCGGCTAATGTAAATTAGCCCCTCCTGCGTTTATAAAGAGGGTGCAACAGTTTCTCCTCAACATACCAAAGATTTTACAAGACAAATGCTCCTAAGTGTGCAAAACTAAATATACAGAGCCAGTCTGGTGTGGCCTGTCACCTCTGGATGGCTTTTCACTGGAGGATATTATTTCCAACATGAAGGAAGTTTGTTACCTCAGCGGTCTAAGGGAGGGTAAAATCGCCTGGTGTTGAGTGAAACGGTGATGCGGAGGTGTGGTGGGGGCACAGCAGGCTACTTTAAAACGTCCACAGCCTATAACTTGAGAGATTTCTGCTGTGAGCCGACCTAATAATTAGCGACATAATTACAAGAGATTATTCTCAGCGGAAGGAAACGCGGTCCTGTTTTAGAGGTACGGATGGCTTGTTAAAAAGGAAGACTGAAAGGTGTTTTAATTCACTAATTACGCGCGTGCGCGTCCTCTATTTTTGCGCGTGCTCTGTGCGCAGGCATCTGTAAACTGGTTTGTTACATAAATGTTACTTTAATACAATAAATTACTTCGGGATGGGGTTTATAAATTAGCTGCGGTGTAAATTGAGCGGTGACGCGCCAACCTCCCTTTGCGCGCTTGGATGTGGTTTGTGCCTGGTGTGTGTGTGTGTGTGTGTGTGTGTGTGTGTGTGTGTGTGTGTGTGTGTGTGTGTTGGGAGGTAAGGGGGGTGGGGGGGCTACGTTTTGTGCAGAGGGTGGGAGCGCGGCGGTGCAGTCTTGTGTAGCGGAGGCTCTGGCTAGGTCTGGTGGTTTACGGGTGTCAAGAGGCAGATCTGAAGGAGTGCAGGCAGAGCGATCTTCACATTCTGGACAAACGCGTAAACTTCTCCCTCACCTGCACATAGGGAGTCCTCTATATTTGCCCTCCTTTTCTGTGGAATCCCGCGCAGCCTGCTGTCCTCCAGGATGGAGCGTGTGTGGGATTGTGCCTCCTCCGCTGGGATGTTTATGCTGGGGGTGCTCTCTGTGCTGTGGCCGGCGCCAAACCGCGTTTGGAGTTTTAACCTTTACGCAGAGCATCCCACGGTTTACAGCGGACCCGACGGGAGTTATTTCGGATATTCTGTTGACTTCTATCAAGCAAGCACTGAGAGGAACACGTGAGTGACCAAATCAGCTCCAACAGACTCCTTAAAAGTTTGTTCTCGATTTTTATTTTTATTTTTTTCATTATAAAATGGTTAAATTGGAACAATGTGATGTGGATAGTGTTTGGATTATTCCCCTATACTGATCATGTTAACTTATCAATTAGCTGTTTCTGTCTTGTATATGCCTTGTCCCCTTCTCCTCCTCCCCCCCTTGTGCCCAACAGGATTAGTGTGCTGGTGGGGGCTCCTAAAGCGAACACCTCCCAGCCGGGCATCGTGGAGGCTGGAGCCGTCTATTACTGCCCCTGGCCAGGGCAGCCCGACAGCTGCAGACAGATTCCCTTTGATAATTCCAGTGAGTCACCTGATGCATTTTCAAACTTTTTTTATTATTATTATTTCTTTCGGATCACAACAGGAAAAAACACTGACATATTTTTGAATATTTCAATTTTCTCGGGATTGCGACTGTTCATTCAGACTGAATGGACATGTCTATCAGTTCGTGATAGACATGTTCATTAGAAATCCACCAATGAGGCTTTTCTTGACCAATACTGACTACAACTTTCTCTGAGGTCTGAACTTCTCCGAAATTTTGATCGGTTTAGATTTTTCCACTATTTTAAGATCTTTAATATAAAAGATGAACAAAGGGGAGTTTGGTTTTTGAGACTGTAGTTTTTAACCAATCAGAAAATAAAGCAATTGCTCACTTTTGATTCAAAACAAATGTCTCTATTCTTTATTTGATATTTAGTACAATTCAAAAGCCCTCCAAAGTGCAGAGTGCTGATTGATGTGTTTTTTTTTGTTTGTTTTTTTTTTCTCTGAAACTGTTGGTTCTTAGCTTTAAAGCATTTCATAAACTCTTTTGTATTTGGCCTGCTCATCAGTTTCATCCATTTTGATATTTTGATTGCTTGCTTCTAATCTTCACGAGTTATCACACATGTTGCTGCATTGAAAAAAGGACATAAAATATGTGGATCTCATGAATTTCTCCTGGCAAAAAACAAAAAACAAAAACAAAACAAATCACCCCACAAGTCTGCTGCATCATGTTCATAGTGCTATTCAATATATTATCATCAGTGTCCAATCTATGTCTCTGACGCACTGAATAGTTAAGTGTGTGTTCATGAACTAGAGGGAAAGAAGAGGGGGTGTTATAGGGAGGGGGTTAAACTGTAAGCACATGGGAATTTGGTTCCCAGTCGAAAGACCGGGGGATTGGGTGAGGTCTGCTTTTTATTAGATCTTGAAAATGTACGCCTGTGTCCTTTCCACGCCTCTTGTCCCGCTCTGATTCTCCATCAGTCTGTCCCTCTCCTTCATGCTTTTTGAGATCACAAGAAGAGCTGCAGATTGAACTGAATGATAAAAGCACTGGTTACTTCTTTTTAAGGAGAAATCACATGTTTTACAAATTCAAGAAAAGATGCATAACTACACAGCATGTGGGACAGAAGGCAGTATTTAAATCCTTGACTTTTAAGGAGATAAGCTTCGGGCAGATGGAGAGTAAAACTGTGGGTTGTTATGCTGGTGTTAGGTTAGAGAGAATATGAAACTACACGCCAAAAGTGGAAAAGTAGTCATCCATCCAGGTTGGGGATGAAGACTCAGACATGTTTAGAGATTACCACGGTTAAAAAACAAACAACAATACCCCAAGCTCCTGTTAACTCTGGAGGAGCTGCAGAGATCCATATTGAAAAATCTGTGAATATAATTCACAGGTTGTGCACTTTACACACTTTACGTTTCCTTCTTTTATGGAAGATTAGCTAAAAGAAAGCATCTTCTTGAAAGAAATATATACAAATCCTTCACTTGAAATAACTGAACTTAGAGTTAGAGTTGAAACCATGTCCATTTCTTTCTACTT